TAATCAAAAAGTTTTGAATATATCATCTGTTGCATAACCTTAGAGGAGTTATTTGCATCACGTCAAACTATAGACAGACCCCTAACATGAATATTAGAAAACCGTTTCATAACCGCATAGTTCCCGAGCAACAAAGGTTATACACTGTGATATCACTGGTATAGCAATACCAAGATACGGGGAACCTAGGCCTCCGTATAATGCATTTGCTGATGCTTTATATGCAAGTTGCTTCTGATCTAATATATTATACATCACATCATTACTCCCAATATACTTGTCACGCTCTTTCTTGGCTTCTTTTTTCTTTTTTATCAGATCCATGAGAATGTTTCGTATGATGCTTTCTTGAGTATCCTCATGGATAAAGTATATATCCTGATTTGTTCTCACGTTATTGTCTATGAGATGTACCACTCGATGTTTCTCATTAGGCTTTTTATATCTAAGCGTATCAGGTCCTATATTGTATTCACGTATTATCGACAGGTACAAACTTGCAAAATCAAGTACATAAATAAGATCCATATAATACCCGGTCTCTAGGTCGATTACCTCTGCACCTTGAAATTTCTTCTTATCTTTGATACTGTACGATACCGGCTTGTCATTATGTTCCTTATTATACTTCTTAGCTATAAGACAATTCAACATGCTTGTTTTACCATCACGGAATGGTTGTACATATTCACAGTTATAAATCATCGCATCTAATCAGTACGAAACCAGTTTTTGCATCTTAATTATGCTCAATAGGACTGCCTATGAATCATAGAAGCAGTATTCAAGAATGTCTGTACAAAGTTTTTCAACCCCTCTTCTCCATGTAAGTTATTGATAACTTTACCTTGTCTTGAATTAAGTTCTTCGATCTTGTTATGGTAATCCATCAAATCAATATTTAATTTGGTTATTTTATCTTGAATCTTGGCCATTTCAATAGCAAGCGATACAATCTTATCTATACGTCTGTAACTCAACCCGATCTTGGAAGGGATCTCTAGAGTATCAAGCATGTAATTTAAACTACTCTGACGCCCAGAGAACTCGCGTTGAAATATTGTCATTGAGTCCCAGAACAGTGTTCCGTCAAACTTGATATAAGTATATTCTATCGCATCTTCACCCTGGGCAAGTGTTATGTTTTCATTTCGTAATACATTATATTTGAACATTTCCCTATAGATCATTTGTTTACCGGTCGCTATCCTATAAAATTCTTCTATCATTGTACTACCAAGCCATTCCAACCTTTGCATAATGAATGGCATATCAAATCCATTTGAATTATTGCCAATGATCACATGTGATTTGATGTTATTCTGTATCTTTGCAAACGCTTGATAGAAGTCATGTTCTCCCTAAACTTCTATCACGTGTATTGGAAACTTTATAATATTTCCTATATCATCAATAAACATATGAATTGCCTCATGTTTACCCTTGACCATTTCCTCGTAATTTTTCTCTGAAAAATTTACCATGGTCTTTATAGTCTCAGGGTCAACTTTTTGAAACTTTGTTATGTCATTCACTATCTTCCATATTCTTTCCTTGATTTTCTCTTCCGATTCATATCGAAGTGGTGTATCGGTTCTGGTATCGAGCAGGCAAATCACTCCCAGTAGCACAGGATCATTACCTTGGGTAAAAACACTAATGTTCATGTATGCACGGTCAAACGGGGTACTACCACGTCCAATCATATCTTTTTTTTTAATTTCATGATTGAAGTTTTGTAAAAATGTCGTTTTCAGATCAAATGCATATACTATCTCATTGCAAAAGAAGTCATCATCTAAAAATATAACATCTTTGTCATATTTAAGGCAGTTCTCATATTCGTCTATTAAGAGTACATGCGCTTCATCCTTAAGTATAAAGAAACCTGAAACATGGAAATAGTCTTCTTTCTTATTCATGTATATTCGACTACGAGTGATAAATTATCCATATTTACCACTAAGTGAGTCTTCACAGATCGTATATGACTTGAATTTATCCTGGTAAATGGCTTGGATAACAGATCTTCGCTTACTATGATCTGTGAATCTAATTCGTAAATACTCTTTACCATCATTACGTTTAACTATCGGGTAATCTTTTATCAAACTGGTCATCTTTACCCATGTGCTATTAGGATGTCTAGCATTTGTGTACTCCATTGTTTTGATTAAAATATTACAATACTCTTTGGGATTTGGGTGATTGGGTGGTATGAGAATATCAAAAAACACCTCGAAGTTTGTAAACTTGACCCATGTTGTGATCCCGTATGTTTTATTCGTTATCTGTGCACGTAAAACATAAAATCCCGTTACTGGGTTGACCTCATCGATTATCTCTCCTATTGTATAGATATCTCCCGCTTTTAATCCCGTATCATTACCTAGATCTGGATATCTAAAATGTAATAGATCATGTTTTGTTGGTATCTGATGAAAGAAACTCATAATCATAATATTGAAAGTGAAATAACTGATTATCATTTAAATTATAAACAAATATTTATTTATACCAAATATGATATTTGTGTAACATGTTATATTATTGATATTACTATGTTATAATTATAACTAGATACAAAGTTTCTTTGTGCTATTTTTAACAGCTTTGAACCTTGATTCAAGGTTATCATCATTGTTATTTTCTGTATTACCTTCATCAGATGAATATATCTCTTTATTATTACCTCTTACATTAAGTTTACGTTTTAGCCTATCATTTTCTTTAGTGATCCTATTTATCCTCTCATCAGTTTTCTTGCGTATAGTCCACTCACTGTATACTTTGGAGAAATATGGAAATGCGTATTTATTAAGATGTGTCAAACCGGAACAGAAGGATATAGACTTGATATTTTGATATTCATTCTTTTTACTTTCTCC